ATGTTTTTCTAGTAAAAGGATACATCATTATCCTTTTTTATTTTCAAATTCGTATCCTAATTTTTTAAATAATCTAAGGTACATATTGTTATCAAGGAAATACCTGTAATATCTGAAAAAAAATGTTTGTTATTATTTTTATGAACGAATAGAAATACAATTGACAATTATCCTATTTAATGAAACTTGTTGAAGATTAAAGATGAACCGACAAACTTATTGAACATTACGTTGATGTTAATCAACTCCAATTAGAACTTTTCTCTGTAACGACGACATTCTGAAGAAGATTATACCGATGTTGTGGTGAGTTTGTCATAAGATTTCCTTTGTTGCATAGTTTTCGCTCTCTTTAAGTGATATATCAGACACGTGGGATTTCTATCGGAGCGTGAAAATTGCATCTTGTCTAAAGGCACGATAAGCACGAGAAAACGAGGTCGAACTAGATCAACCAACGAAGGTCTCAGTTCCCATTTATTTCGCTTGTTTGCCGGAGAAAGCTACGCAAATTTACTAAGCGTGTGACTCACGTGAAATCGTTCAAGCAAAATACTTAATTCTGTGTCACAGTTACATCCGGTACAATGTTGTCAAAAAAATGTTTTGTCACCTTCCCTTTAAGTTTCACTTATTACATATACATCGTTTCCTTAAAGACCCTCTGCTTATCTTTCTTATCTCTGCTTATCATTTTATGGTCATTCTACTTGATGATGAGATTAATAAATAACACTATAATCATCATTCGATTACACCTGCTTACGAATCTTCATTTATTTCTAATAAATAAAACATTTATCAATATCAATATTTATCGATATTAAATAAGAATTATTACTTATGTACCTTTGAAGAAATGGTAAAATAACCTTAGCATCAAGAAGAAAAGTAGGGTACTCCTACTTTTGCAACAGTATTGTTACAATATTTGAAGCAAACTATTTTGTACCTAATATTATTTGATATTAAATTTAAATTTGAATTATAAATGGTCATCTGTTTTCCTAGATGCGTATTCATATCATTACAGAATTAAATTTGAAGATCAGACTTAAGGGATAGATCATATTTATGATCTACGAAGTGAAGGTGAAATCTGAAACGTCGAATTACATTAAGAGTAAGTATATAGAAATATTAACTTAACATTCTATAAATTAGAAATAGCAATAAATATACCTATTTTGCTAATGGTACTCATTCCTCATATAAAAATAGCATCAGTTTCTCTTTGTCGCATGCTTCGTGTCGTTAAAGTATTAAGAACACGACCAATTCCACGTATTATCCACGGAAGTTCGAAGCCAGTTGCACTAACGGTCCTCCACCTGTTATTTCTATGGTACAGTCTATTTCAGTGTCCTGTAACGAATGTTCCATAAAGAATTCATAAAAAAAAATACAAATACATATTATACAAATGGAAGGGTGTGGAAAGCCCTAAATTGATTATCTTACTTGAAGTCATATTTCGAAAATGCAATTGAAATAAATACGTATGAAAACATTAATACAATATAATGTATTATAATACATATAATAATATATATAACATGATATAACATATATATAATCATAGAATTTAAAAATAAGATTTAAAGACTGAACTTCTATCAAATTTATTAATTACTTACATAAAAAATACATTTAAACATATAATAAAAGTGTAAATAGCTATTTAAACAAATTTGTTAATATGTTTATATAAGTTAATTTATTATCTAGGAAACAAGGCATTTTTAATATTTTAAAATAAAATACAGACTTAAACTTCAAAATAAGTTTATAAATAAAAAATTAACTTTGTAAATTTTTTAACCATTTTGCCAATATACGTTTATTAAAAATCTTTTATGAATTTAATTTTGTAGAAATCAAGCAACATAAATTATAAACTATAGTTATTTGATTTCAATGAAACTACGATTAAAAGTAATATATGATTCCGAACTTGCATATTACTAACGATGTGTGCATGCCTCGAATAGCTTTATAAGATTAAAACAAACATTAACATCCACTTCTGAACTATTATATTGCCTAATTATATAGCACAATGAAATAAAACTACTAACTACAAATGAATAAAATTTAATCAGAAAATCAATCACAAGTAAACCCTTGTTAAAAACATATTCATAGCGATTCTAAAAGATACGTATATAATAGCCTACAATGATATATAAATACATACTTAAGAACGAACGATTACCGAAAATGATAGGATATAATTCTTAAGGCTATCGAACAAGATTATTAGGTTCAATAACGATGTATCGTACGAGAGCTCGCACTTTGTGACGTTAACACAACGACTACTATCTATCATCGCTAGATGGAGTAGTTTCACCGTATTAAGTTAAAAAATTGCGGGTCAAATGGATCGAAACGGGATAATGTCCCGCAAGAATGTAGCGCAACGTGAAAGTTTCTTTCATGGAAGAAGGAAAAGAAAAAATGGCAGCCTTCGATATTAAAACTGATGAGACGTTTAGCCCTCTTATTTTCTGCGACCACCCCAAATTGATTAATGCAAAGAACATTAGCGCGACCTGGAGACGTTTCTTCGAACGACATACTAAATCGTGCCTTTTGAAACTCAGTAAAAATGAAAATGACCACATAACATAATTATTAATTATTTAGGATTATTCACCTAGCTTCTTTCACTTCAAACTTTAAAAAACGGAAGAAAGCATTAAAAAGAAAAGTATACATATTATGGATAATATATTATTATTATTATACATATATATAATAATAAATATCTATATATATAAACACTATATGATTAATTATTATACAACTTAATTTGGTAAAATATTGACAAACATTTCACAATGATTCAAATTTCCAAATTTTTCAGGACTCTTCCTACTATATTTTTCTACTATTAAAAATAAAAAATAAAAGTATGAAATCGTTAATAGTTATTACATGTTTGTGTATAAAGTGAAATAAGTAATCTAAAAAATAATTATTCTTACTATCTGTTGATAACTTAATATGTTTTTTATTATCTGTCGATAAATTAGGAAAAAACTAATTACTGTAATCAATTTTGACATTTTAATATGTTCATTTATACGTTAAAATAAAAATATTTATAATACATTGACAAAACACAATTTACAATTTTAACATATTATAAATCAAATATTAATGCTTTAGTAAATAATGATATCATAGGTATATAAATATGAATATAAATATTTGAAAGATTAAAATTACTTAAAATAAAATGATATAATATCTATTTGAAAATTTGAATTGGAGAATTAAATTACTTTATAATTTATTTCGCGTTATATATAGTTTCAAATAACGTACGAAATATAAAATAAATCTTCCATTTACATTCCGAAATACTAACTGTGAAAATAAGGAATTTATTTTATCCTTCATGATTGAAAATTGCAGGCTTGGAAATTGCAATTGACAGCCGAAATCTAGAATCTATAATCTATATTAGGTACTTACGCAGTATCCTTATATGATTTTTCTCCTATCATTTTACTTCATCCATGACATGTCGAAATCGAAGAAACATTACTACAATCGATATTAGCTAATTACGCAGTATGACAATACATTTGCGCTGACACCATTTTATTTCACACATACCACTTTAAAATCGAATGAAAGTTGAGAAAACTTCTAAACATCTGCCTTTTCGAAGCCATATTAACTAACTATCGTAATTAACAGTCGAAATCTAAAATCTATAATAAATATTGTGTATTTATGCAGTATCATTTTGTATATGTACTATATAACGACCCTTCGTTCCATTTGTAATATATTACAACCCAACAAATATTGGCAAGTAGATATCTCGGTGAAGTTCTATCAATTTCTTAAACTTGTGTTGTATTGTATTCGTAAATATTACGACAATATTGGAAAAATAACCTACAGTTGCAATTCTACGAAGTAATACCTGATACTATGCATTATTGTTCTTTAATATATATTTCGTCAATTACAACAATTAAAACATCGATTAGCGATAACACTACTTCACGGAACGTCTTGAAAAGACTGAAATTTTTACTTTGACGCGCGAAAATATTCCACCATGTGTTACCGGTGTATAACTAATACTAAGCATTGAAAGCAAATGTATTAAATAAATCAAAATTGTATAAAAAGGACTCCTGATTCTTTTTCTTTATATTATTTCAGTAAATATTTCGAATAAAATTTTATTTAAAGAATTTACTCGAAACGTTATTCGAATAAAATTTTATTTGATAAGCTAACAGCATATCAAAATCCTTTATCACCAACTACTTCGAAAAATAGTTTTTTAACTCGTCGTCGTTCAAGTACAGAAGGCACTAGAATCAGCCTCGTATTTTGATATCAGTAAGGCGGTAAAGTTGAACCGCGAAAATTCATACAATGTTAAATCTATTCTATATCTTATCTATGATTCAACTCATCCATTGATGTTCGTAAAACCAATAGATTTGAAAATACTCTTTTTTATAGCCATACTAATTATTTACATTACAATGTTTTGACGATTTGTCAACAGTATTTAAATATATACAAAATACATACTTACAAATATATATAAAATACAAAATACAGATATACAAACTACCATAAAGTAATTAACCAATTAAAAACTGCATTATAGTTTGTATTTTAAACCTTATACAGAAAAATATTCAAAATTTAAACATTATTTTTCCTTAATTTCTTTATCAAAATTATGCAAAATTTATGTATTCATTTGGATATTGTCATATTGAAAAATATATATATGTAACAAAATAAATTTAACGAATGCCAATTGTAGATAGTCGGTAAAATATCAACTGATTTTTCACCTACAGCGCTATCTATAGACAAGATGTAGAATCTACATACGTTCTTTTTTTGAAAGCGTTCTTAAGACGACATAGCGGTACGCCAATTTTAAGGCAGCGAGCGCATACGGTGTCACGTGGGCAGGCGCGACAAGCGCATATTCGAGAGAAACCTGGCGCCCTGGTGGCGGTCTTTGGGGCGGCCATATTTTCTCTCGTGGGTTTCAGTCACGAAGGTGGTGGTTCGCTGACAATTTCTGGGATGCGCCGTTTGAAGACATTCTCGCGTGTTTTATACTCGTAAATAAGTGAACAGTGCCAATCATGGCTAAAGGGAGTAACAATTTGTCTGGAAGACGATCATCGTCGCATAATACAAAGCCCTACGACGCAAACAATGTGAGTAGTATCTTCTCAGCACGAGTTCCCCGCGACAGAAACGAACCTGCTCCGCATCCAACGGTTCTTCGCGCCTTATAGCCCAAATTAGATTTTCTAACAAATTCATACTATGTACCAGCCCCTCTTTGGACTGCTCCTTGCGCGACCGCCCTTTTCCTAAGATGTACTTTCATCGGATCTAGACGATGTCACGGTTATGTGAGTCCACTCGATAACCTCAATCTTTCCCATACTACTTCACTCATGAGATACCTATCAAGACGCCTATAACATGTAACCTTGAAACGTGATTCCTTACGAGGAAAATCTTTCAGAATCTATCATACAATACAATTCTCGTAAACTTATCGTTCTGTCAACTTCAGAAAATTTAAATGTTATCGGTTTACATTCACATCTAGTCCGTGTGTGAAAAAGCCACGCGTGACGTTGAAATGTCGCGTTTTGCGCAAATTCACGCAATGTCTTGTAATCTTTTCCAAAGATAATTTTTTTTATGAATGATAATATTCTTTCAATTTGATTGATCCAAATCAGCGTATAGTTTAATCTGCTTTTCGATCGAACGTTTTAACCTCAATTGTAAGAATGACTTTTTATATATTATAATTATTATTGTGTTACGTACTTACACATGTTAGTTTTACGAAATATTTATATTGAATCTTATACATTCATAACTAATTTTCTATACTTAATTTCGTCTACATTTATTTGAATAACTTTGTTACAATACATATTAAATGAAATAAAACTGCATATATAAACATATATAATGCACATAAATAATATAACTTTGTAATTAATATAAATATATTTAGAATCTATATTTTCTGTATATTTTATATTGAATTTTTGTTATTAAAATATTTTTACTTTGTCTAATATCATATCATGTATTTAATGTTATGTGAATGAACATTGTAAAATATTATTTAATGCACATGTAATTGTTTTCTTTTTATTTCAGTCTTTTGTAAAAAAAGTGGCAACAAAAGTAACAGATCTTATACCACAAAGATTATGGATCAGTAAATGGTTTCATTCATCTCAGAATGACGAAGACGTTTTAGAGAATAATGAAAATCCTGAAGAAGAAGAAGAAGTTGAATCAGAAGAGGATATTCAAAAACCTCCACCTTTAAAAAGACCATGTATTCGTATGGATGTTACTCATCCACCTGGAACATTTACAATTCAACCAAGAGCTAAATCAACAGTTAACAAAACCAATCCATCTAAACAACAATATTCAATTCATGATGAAACGGTAAATATAATATCACAAACGATATTATTTAGAAATCATATTTTTCAATTCATCATATTTTTGTAGAGCGATGACTTTTGTAAACCTGCAATGGCTGGGCCAAGCGGGATGAGCCATTTAGTATCTTCTACATCTGGAACACAATCAGACATTAGAGACATAACATCTCAGAGATCTGAGTTAAATACATTAGTTGCTACTGCAAATAATGGAACTACAAATGGTATGGATGATAATTCTGAATCCAGTGAAAGCACTAGTGGCTGTAGCTCTCTTATTCCACAAACAAATAGACAAGAAGCTCCATCAAATGTCTCTTACAGTTCTCAATTTTCTAATAGAAAAAAATTTAATGATGATAAATTAAGTTTCAGTAAGTAAGATTTCTTTACAGTAATATTATTATTTGATATGTAATTGTTTCTTTTACTTTTAAAAATATAAATTCGTATTTCATGTATTTTGATATACAAATTTTTTTAGCCAATCATATGCAGTCTCCGAGGTCTTTATTTTTAAGTAATAATACTCGAGATTCCTTAAGTAGTCGTAGACCAAGCTTCAATGCATCAATCATAACAAACACGCCGGATCGTGCATCTCCCTTGGCATCTCCTTTTTACAGTGGAAATATTACTTTTGGTGGAGCAAATGCAGCTGGCCTTAAACGTGGTCGCAATTTGTTCAATAGTTCAAACGAGGTATGTGTTGATTCCTTAAATTTTTGTTATCTTAATCAATTACCTACAATATTAGTTATATTTAATTTTAGATTCAACTTAAAGTTCCTAAAAGAACACGCGTTGAAGTAAAACCATCTAATACAGCAGGAGTTGATTCATCTGGCATGAGTCAAACTGCTAAAAAAATATTGGAAGCATTAGAACATTTTTCATCACCAATAACTGATGCTAAAAAAATTCCATTAAAGATGATGAATAATACATCATCAGTAAGTAAAAAGAGAACTAGAGAGGAAATGACATCTACAACGAAAGTTGGATTACGTCACTTAACTCGTGAATTAACTGTACCAACTATACCTGATATATTAAAATTGAGGCGGCGGCAAAAACTACAGGATACAACAGCTGCGGCTAGAAAAATTGTTTCTGCTCGAAGCGAACCACCGCCTCAACAAGAATATCATCTTAGGTAAATTATCTGTTATATAAAATATTCATATATATAAATCTTCGTATATACAATTATAATACCTATAATTTTTTCTTGATAGAACACAAGCTGCAGAAGATTCAAAGCACCATGGAAAAGTTAAAACTAAAACAACAAATCTTGAACAGGAAAATACAGTTGAACCAATCAATTTACCAAACATACCTTTACCAATATCTTCTTTACCTAATTTCAACTTTATGCCATCTACTGGTTCAAAGGTAGCAGACAAGGCTGATATAGATAAAGGAGACACCTTTACATTTGCAAGTCCTATAAAAGTAACAAATACTACTACAAAGAATTTAAAATCTATCAATAACTTTACATTTAGTACTCCAATTAATGCTGATAAGCAATCAACAGATAAATCTAATGATTCAAATTCACCTTCAAAGAAAAGTGTACCTTCTGTAACACTAATGAATTAAAATCTGGAAGTGTCATGGACATTCTTTGTTCTACATCTAATATAACTAAATCCGAAAAATCAAGTGAAGGAAAGGTGCAATTAGATTCAAATACAGAATCAACTAATGATAAAATAAATAAAGTTATTCTAGATACCAATAAAGATGATGATATTACAGAAGTTGTAAATTCAAAGTCCAATACACAAAATATTTCAATCATGTGGGAATGTTCTGAATGTTTATTTAAGAACAATGATTCTGAAACACGATGTTTTGCTTGTAAAGCTAGCAAACCAAACATTAAAGATAAAAATACTTCTGAAGTGTCAATATCAAGCAATACCAATGAATTAAAAGCTACTGTAAAGGATCATTTTGGATCAGAATTTAAACTTTCAAATAACCAGTGGGAATGTACGTCGTGTTTCGTAAGAAACAAACAAAATGATACTAATTGTGTTGCATGCAGTGCGCTTAAACCAGACACAAAGCAAGAAAGTAAATTTGTCAAACATGAAATGCCAGAAAAATGTTGGGAATGTCCGAAATGTAAGGTAGATGTTTCTGAAAATTCAATTACATGCTTTTCTTGTAACACACCAAAATCAAGTACATTAAAAATCAGTCCACAAAAGAATATAAATCCTACAGATAATACAAATATTTCTATAAATCAGAATATTAGAACGCCATTTAATATAATTAATCCAGATAAAACTATGGATAAATTTAAACCAAGCAAGGATACATGGGAATGTCCTTGCTGTATGGTTAGAAGTTCTGTTTATGTTGATTCTTGTCCATGTTGTAATACAGCTAAACCTAGTATTGGAGTTACTACTAAAAGTGTTCCATCTGTTTCAAATGGATTTGGAGATAAGTTTAAAAAACCTGAAGGTGAGTGGAATTGTGATACTTGTATGCTACAAAATGAGGCAAAGAATACTAAATGTGTAGCTTGTGGTGATTCAAAGCCAGGATCAAAGAAATTAGATAATACTACTCCTGCAAACACCAATTCTAATTTACAATTTAATTTTGATATGCCTGCAAATGCTAGTGGTTTCAAATTTGGCATAGACAAATCTGGTCAAGAAAAGACGGATAGTACAATATCTACAAATGGTTTTAAATTTGGGGAAAATCAACAGAATAATCAAATTGGCCAATTTACATTTGGTATTCAAAAAGAAGAACAGAAAACAAATGAAATACAAAAGTCTGAAAATATTGTCCTTTTGACTTCAGGAAATGGTTTTGGATTTCAAAGTAATACAAGTAATGGGGAAAAGACTGATACAAAACAAGATTTAGAAAAGGTGGAGAAAAACTCAACATCATTATTTTCATTTGGTATAGCTAAAAGCGAAAGTCGAGCAACGGAAAGTGATAAACAACCTGCAAATGTAACAACTACAATTTCATCCACCTTTACATTTGGTGCACCTAAGGCTACAGATGTACAATCAGATATAAAAGAAGAAAAACAAACTCTGCTTGGAAATACTACTGTAGAAGTTCCACAGTCAAGCATAGTAACTACTGAATCTTCTGTTGCTATTAATACAAATACATTATCTTCAATAACTCAAAGTAATACTTCAATAACTCAAGAAACTAAGCCAACTGCTACTTTTTCATTTGGTGTGCCAAGTAACACAATTGCAGTTACTAGCAATACCTCAACAACAGTGGTATCAAGTCTTCCATCTTCAACTCAATCTTCCTTTACATTTCTTGAATCAAAATCGACTGCACCAACATCACTTGTACCATCCTTTATACCAACTTCAGCTCCTGCTTCTAATTTATCTAATACCTTCACATTTGGAGACAGTAAAACAAAGGAAGAATCTTCAGTAACTAAAACTTTTGGTACATTGCCAAATACTTCTTCTGGAAATTCATTATTTTCAAGTATTCCCAATACTCCATCATTATTTAATAATAATGATATAAAAACTACACCAACATTTGGACAAACTGCACCTGAAGATAACAAACAACCTGTATTTAATGCTACAGATACAAATAAATCATCCACATTTGCAATGCCAGAGAATAAAGTACCATTATTTGGTAATACAGAAAATAAACGTACAATTTTTGGTTCTACTGATACAAAAATACCTGTATTTGGAAGTACAGATAATAAAACATCTCTGTTTAATCCAACACTTCAAGCACCATCTGCAACACCAACACCTTTTGGCTCACCATCAACTACACAACCACTATTTGGAGCAAATGTTACTCCTGTTTTTGGTAATAATACTGCTTCAACATTCACTACTGAATCAACACCTCGTATGAATGAAACTAATACACCGAATCCAAATATATTCACATTTGGTACTTCCTGCTGAATCTACTCAAAAACCATTATTTACATTTGGTAGCCACTCAACTACTCCACAAAGTGGTAATTTATTTGGAAATACATTTAATAATTCTATATCTGCTAATTCTTCCGGCTTTACATTTAATGCACCAAAACCGGAAGCACCAGCATTTGCTCAACCTACAGCTGCAAATCCAATTTTTGGTGCACCACAACCTGGTACACAAAATCAAGCATCATCGTCGTTTTCATCTACTCCTTCAAATTCAGGATTTAATTTTGGATCTACAGCACCTGCAACGTCATCGGGAGGATTTAACTTCGGTACAGTTGTAAGTAAAATATAAGATAATATAAGATGAATTACTGCAATTCAATTTTATTAGTAATATTTCAATCATTTGTATTTAGATATTAATAACTGATTTTCTTCTTAGGCTCCTGCTTCTGCACCATCTGCAGGATTTAATTTTAATCCTCCTGGTACTACACCAACATTTGATCCTAATACTCCACCATCATTTAATTTCACTGGTGGTAACGCACCTACAGCATTTACGTATGTATAAATTATAGAATTATTTGTCACATTAATTATGTGAATTATTTTTATAATTGTTATATTTTGTTTCAGTGGTAACCCTACCCAAATACCACGAAAGATCAAGAAAGCTCTTAGAAGAATGCGGTAGAGGGCAAGTAATATACGACCATAATTGCACATACACTCGGGTGTAATTTTTTTTTCTTCCTTTTTTCTTTTTTAATATGTATTTCATGCAACCGTGTGTGTGAATATGTTTTTGAATATATGCTAAAGTTTACAGTATGATACAATGAAAATATCATATACTGACCGGTTACATCAATGTGGTGGTATACCAAGCATTTTATGTAATATATTAATTTGTCAATGGGATATGCTTGCGTACAACCACTTGTGTTCTACAGGATCTGTAAATTATAAATTATTTAAATTATACAATAATAACAAATGATACTTCGACCTTGGCATGAAGCCATTTTTGCAACTAAGACAGATCATAATGCCATTGCATTACTAATACCTTGCCCAAACAAGACACTATATGTATGTTCTGGCGTGACAAATTAATTTGCTGAAACAAGAGAGTACCTCGATAAAGAAATCTTACAAAGCACTAAATGTGTGCAATTTATTGAGGATAACGAGTGGGAGTGTATCCCTCAGGTAAGTACAAGTCATTCACAACTCGTGACAATGCTTTTGTAACTGACAAGGAGGAGGGACTATACAGTGTTGCAGAACATTGATTAAAAATTATTTTTTTGTAATGAAAGAAATGTTGCAATAACTTGCAATAGCTTTATTCTTATATTTGTATGTAAAAACAATCATTCTTTCCTGACTGATTATTTTTAATAAATTCAGTATACACAGCTTTACATAGTCAAGTATATAAGCTTGAGAGAGCTTGATAAAAAAGAAATACGTCATTAATAGATAAAATTCTTTTATTTATTTCGTCTATAAATTTTGTCACGTTACGAGTTTTGTGAATTGACTGAATATCAATGAAGTCCCACTGCGTATAGACATTAATTATATTTTAATTAGAATTTTGTGGGCAGTTCTACAATCTTTGTAGTACTAGTCCAAGAAAAATGTATCATATAAAAAAAATGGCATTCGGATAGTACAAACTCGCGATTACTGAACGATTGCATTGAGTAGTCGAAATTGTATATTTTTTTTATATATTGAATGAACTAATCCTATAAGAATATACTGAATGCCATTTTAATAGAATTAAATTATAGTAATGTTGCGTGTTTTACCATAGAATGAATGAAAAACGAATCAAGTATGTTGAATGGATATAAATTATTATGGGACTTCTAAAGAATTACCTTTTTTGTTATTAAATTTAATGTATTTTTATAGTGAGTTTCTAAACCTGTTGTCAACTCTGTATATTATCATTACCGTATTTTGTATATTATAAAAACGTATCACTCTGTATTACAACAAAATTGAATATATTACAATAAAATTAGTAGAAATAATATTAAACAATTCTAAAAGCATATTCATTTTTAGATCAAATTAATTTCTTTTTTAAGATTTTCTTATTTCTTTTATAAGATTTTTATATTCTAATGCTATTTATGAAATACAGATTTATACAATAAGTGCAATTTTACTAAGAGTGATACTAGTTTTTGTAAATATAAGTATAATAAAATCATTTCAAAAATATTAAAGAGCCATAAAATAGATATTCTTTTTAGAAGTCCCTAAATGCAGAAAGTAGTTAGTTGACGTGTTGATGATTAATAAATTAATATGAAATCATGCACGTCCTATTTAAGATTAGGATAGTTATATCTATAATGTTGGCTTAAAATTGACAGTAGCCAAGAATAACTCGGCACAAGACCCACCTTCTGCCATAATAGATATATAGGTACAAAACAACTCTGTTACATATTGTTACTCTATATGTTGTGTAATGTTTACATTATAGGTTTTAAGGCATTTTTAGTTTCTGCATATATTATCAAGAAACAAGGATAATAAATAACAAAGAAACCTTGATTGAATGTTGATAATTTACAAATTGCATACTCTGCAAATACCCTTCGTAGTTGTTACCTATTATGCTAAAATAGTATTGCTAAGTATGTAAAAAATGTATCAACGTAATTAATCAATTCTTTCTTTGTATAATTAAAATTACAATTAATCTATCGTTTAAACGTAGAACGAGATCTATAGCAATTCTATAATTGAAATCAACTAGTTAATATTTACAGTACCTCTTAATGATTTCCTTTGTATAAAAAGATCTTGTCTACGAAGGGTTCTTCCGCACATAGTTATATTGTTTAACTTAAAAAATTATAGCTTTGTATAATTACCAGCTGAAATACTAACCAATGGTAAAGTGAGGCTGCGCTGAGATATGTCTATGCTGCTGTCTTACACTGTGAACATTCTCTGTCGAGGCTGTGTCGTCCATTTGTCTACCCCTAGACAAATTTCCAAATTAATAAATATATCAAATGCTGCTTGAAAGGGGCAGCACCTTTGTATTAAATCTCGTATATGGCCTTAAAAAACATAACGAGCGCGTGACGTAGATGTATTAACAATTGTAAAGCAAATCATATTGGAATTGTTTTGTAGCAGTTTGTACTCTCCATTGCAATGTGTTTGCATAAATACTTGAAGAGCACTACATTAAAATCGTTCAACAATAGACATGTAACATCTCATGACTCATAGAATATTTGTCTTTGTATGTGTTTTAGCCACTATAAGAATAGCTTTAAATTGCTTCCATAAAATTTAGTGTTAATTCTTTAATTAATTGCATCTTAACTACTGTAACTTAATTACATAATTTGGAAACTAATATGATAAAAATAAATAGTTTGCCTACAAAAATAATTATTAATAAATTAATAACGTATTTTCTAAGCACATTGTACAAAAATCCTTCGAGTTATGAGATGTAAAAGAATGAGTCAAATGTTCTGAGGCCTTATTATAATCTTAGTCCATGAAAATTATGTATTGTACTGAATTTACACGAATATCTGTAATGATTATATTGAGAATGTATTAATCAATGATCTAATGTTCACAAATGAGAGAGTTTGTTATGAAATAAGTCCAATGACTGCCTGTAATTAAATAAAATGTACATGGGAGAATGTTCACTGTATGCTTCAGGTGCTATGGAGATGTTATAACATTCTCATGACATGGTATAATGTTAGATAATATTGTGAAGGAATATCGGTGTTTCTCAACCGATAAACCATTTATAATTTAATAATATTTACTCGCACAAATAAAACATGCAAGGTATTCGTAACAATAATCTAACATTCTTTTATTTTGGAATGAAAACGAAAATAGAAGTACTTGTTAAATTGCGAATATTTTATTTAAAGAGAAACATGAAGATAGACATATTTGATTTATTCAAACGTACGTAAATAGTAAATAGTAATAAACACGTGATTATAATTAAAATATTAAATGTACATTACATAGAATGGAAGTAGCATCTATTTGCAGAACAAATGTATAAATGTAATTATGATGAATGAAAAACTCGATAGCCTCATATTGTATAATTTATTGAATAAATGTGACGTTATTTTAGTGCGTAACATTTACGATGACGAGGGCTATTGAGCTCGTGTTGAGAAACACCGTAAATAGGATACATTCACGTTAACATTATTACCATTATTATTCTTAATACTATCCTCCGCTGTATCCATAATAATTATATTATACAGTACTAGGATATATGAAAAATATCAATTGAAAACAATGATGTTTAATTTTGATTTACAATTTTATTTTGTAGCTAGTAAAATAACGATTTTAGGAGGGCATTTAGATAATAATGCGAACCAAGGAGTTTTTAACTATGTACAATTATCTTATAATGTAACTACACTTTAAACTTTAATTTCCTTCTTATTAAATAATCAAATGTGCGAGGACAAAAAACGCGCGCAGTACTCCGTAAAAACCCTTTGGTTCACATACAGAAAGTAATCTGAAAACGAATGTTAGAATTCAGTCGCAGTTTCGAATTCTTAAATCAAATGTATTTGTTTTATGATTACGTTTCACGTTGCTTTTTATTTCTGTAACTATCAAGCTCACTCCTTAACAGTTCCTCGAAGAAAATATACAAAATAAGAAATCCATACTATAACTTACTATAGTATTCGTGGTTTTATCATCCTAAACAACATATATATGTCTGTTCTACGTGTTTTTAGTAAAAAATATTTTATTTTAATCACATGATATATCTCAAACCAAAATACAGAAAAAGCAAGGAAAGGTAATCTTCTTTTAATAGTTTAAATAAAATTAGAGTGGGCAAAGCATAAGTATCTTTTCCATATTTCAAAATATTTTACAAAAACAAGTGACTAAAAATTAGATATTAAAAGATTTTATTCTATATAAAGTAGTTCAATTATTATTAACTAAAAATTCCAATTCATTACCATGTCACATCGTCTACTATAAAATCTACGTATTCAGTTTTCGCTTACAAGAGATATACAATTATACAACAATTCGTTTTCTTATGTTGCACAGCTGTATGGGGAGTTATACAGAAAATAAAAATTATCTATGATAAAGATACACTAAGTGTTTGACTTATTTATCTGATTTTGGCACACTCTGTACAATCTGCGTTAGTAATGCAGTGTTAAGGTGCTTTTAAAAAACACTGAGGATAAGTAATATATATTAGATTATTGTAAATCTCTAAAATTATTTACAAATTTTATACAAGTTTCAATTTTGTCCACTAAAAATTTTTGTTACATATAAAATATGAATATATATAATATATATATATTTTTAGTATTAACATATTAAGGACAAACTTTAAATAGGAGGAAAAAGATTGCTATAATTACAAAGCAAAGCTACTTCCTTCCAAACATGTGGGAATTAGGTAAGACAATGGCGATAAAGAACTGTATTAAAACTTCTGGCACGAATTTTATTCCGAGATTTACAACAAAAATGTTTCAACTAGTTAAAATGCCGCTTAATCTTGGGATATGAAACATTGACACGTATAACATAGGTAATACAAGACGATGTGGACAATTCAATAGTTTGCAATGAACTGATAGAATAGATTCATTTTCTATTTACTTAGTGTGTTGTGTTTGCGTGTGGATAGGCCTCCTGTGCTTCCCAGAGAGGTGGGTTTCCTAATCAATTGTAATAAGACTCATTAGCTGATAAACGGAACAGCCAATCCTCTCTGGGCAGCCCATATTCATTACTATTTTTATCACTTCTATCATGATATTATAATTTAGGTACAATCTTAATTATTCAATATTAATGAGAATATTAATAATTATGTTTTATTTTTTGCATGAATTAATTATAGATCGTAATTATAATTACTTTATAAAGTTTCTTACACTAAGAATCGTCAGACATGAAGGAATTTTGGGATTTTAGCGCCTCCAATGTTTGAATTTGTTGACGAAGAAATAATATCCTAGAATAATAATAAAAAAAAAAAATCGATCGGTTTAATTTGATAACTAATTATTTCATACAATCTTAACATGATGAAAAAATAATGCATACCTTTGTTCCTGTAACGTTGCCTGGATTTCTGTCAGCCTCACTATCGATCGTGCTGTCTTTAACTCTGCCGACACTCTTGTACACTGTAAACTTCCCATTGTATGTGCTTCTTCACTAAGTTTCTGTGCCTGAAACCAATAATTACCCACATATTTTTCATCACATCATGTAATACTAAAATATACAGTTCGCACATTTTTAAACAATTATATGCACATATATACCTGTTTTTCAAGAATATCAGCAGGTTTTAGGCACGCACATGTTGCGTTAAATCTTCCCGATAGTGATTAGCAAGTGATGGTGTTAAGGAAGGTGTTAAAGGAGGCTGTACTCTAGACAATGCTTGTAAACCTGTATTACTTAAATTTCCAAGGGAACCTAATGTACTAAGATTTTGCAATGAGCTTAAACCTTGTACTCCAGAATTCGTCCCCCCAGGACTTGTTACTGTGAAAAGAAACCAAATATTTAGCTATTAAAAATTATTAATTACGATTTCGCTAAATATAAGCCACCGGTTATCAACATACATTTTCGAGCATCGATGCAATCCTGGGTTTCCGAATGTGTAGGAGTAGGTGGTCCCTCACTTGTAACATTGCCGCTTGTATCAACTTTTAGCGGGACCATTACATCATTTCCACTATTATTTCGGTCTCCACTAGCCGACTGCTATAAAAAGAAAAGAAAACAAAATTTTATTCAATTAATATTAACGTAATATAATACATTATAACATTATTACAATGTTTAACACTTTAAAAAATTTAGAATTTAAAAAATATATATATAAAAATATTTATTTATGTACATATAATTATAAAGTATATATATATATTACAGAGAATTTTTTTTATATTAACCATTAAGTTTATTTCTTCATTTATAAAAATTATTTGCTTAAAAATTACATATTCTTTTTATAAATAATTTGAATATAATACTTAAAATTCAAAAAATTTATATGAAATGGTGGTTTTCTTTCATCACTTGATTTAGTTTTAAAAATATATACAAATTTTTTTGATTAGAAAAGTTTAAAAGAAGAAACAAAAATAGTTTAATGTTCTAAATAAAAATATTAAAAAATATATAAATGTAATATAATTATATGTTGTGTTAAAACTTGTTTCAAAAATTTATTAGTTAATTAAGAAAAATTAAATGCTATTAATACACAAAAAAGAGAAAGAAGAATGAAAAAAAAAAAAGAATATCGTACTAAAACTTCTGACTTACTTGTCTTGACAACAGAATGGCGGCTGTTTGAAGTGTTTGTAGTGCTTTTTGTGGAGTAATATCGGGTTGTTCTTTATTGCCTGTGATTTGAGATAAAAGTCTCGGAAGATTTGCTAACGAAACGGGTGGTCCTGGAGCATTACTATTTCCTTGTTGTTGCGTTGGTGAATTAAGTTTTCCAGGTGTTTGTGGTGTAGATGGCGGGTGTGATGTTAACCGAGGTAATGCTATAAACAATTATTAATCTATTAATATATACTCTTTTTTATTTCTTTATCATTGTATTGTTTAAATAAAACATACCAGTGGCCAACGAAACAGGACCTTGAGGCAGTGGATCATGTGTACAAGATGTTAGAGGTTCGGAAGTTGGTGTAGAATCACCTGGAGAAATATCCATATCCTGAGCTTGACGCTCCACCCCTGCTTCTTCTCTACATGGTTCCCGATCTCTTTCACGTTCTCGTTCTCGTTCCCGTTCCTTCTCTCTTTCTCTTTACCTAACCGAAACATCTTCTCTACTACCACCACCACCGCTTCCACTGCATGAACTCCAATATTCTCGTTTGTCGGATTGACGCGATGATTTACCATCTCGCACACTGCTACTGCTATTTGATCGCGAGTTGGAATGTTTATCATGACCTGCGAGCAAAAAAATAAAAAAAAAACAAGATTTTCTATACTGAATAATTTAAAAAATTTTACACCTGGTAACTAATCGAAATCAGAAAACTTAAGCTACAATGAATTTGCACAATAAATTAGAAATAGTTAAGATACAATGAATTAGTAGAGAATTAATCTCTTGCAATACATCACATTTTCATGTATTATATCATGTAAATTTATATTTAAAACAAATATTTAATATTAAACACATAAATAATGTATTAAACAGTAAAGTTTTCTTATATCGGATTGATTTATATACGGTTTTATTATTAATATTACTAGTTTTATGTCTGCAAAATATTAAATTGTAATAACGAAGCAGCAAATTGTAATCATTACAATACAAAGAATAGAACTATTAAACTGTTAATAATGCAAAGAATCATTTTCAAATTTAAAAAATGTATGTATTAATATAATATTATTAAACGTACTTGACCTAGAAGAATAATCATTGGACTGACGTTGTCGATTTTCTGTTCGACTAATCCATTCCCGTGGTTTCTCCCATTGAGAAACTTCTGTTTTACAGTTGTAATAATACTTCTTGCCCGAAGAACTCATGTGTTCTGACCAATCACCAAACCTGGCCGAACGTTCCATTGTACCTCCTCGCTCATCACCACGTTTGTCCTAAACAGACTGTTCTAAAATTTCCGGAAACAATTGAATCGATGGAAAATATTTATACGAATTCCAAAACTTGTTCGAAAAGTTGAAATTACATTTGTCCACGTTGTTGATCCTGTGCACCTATCAAATCTCAATACTTTCAATTTTTCAACTTTTAATAAGATACATATGTGCATAACAATTTAACAATGTTAATTGAAATATTAGTTGTTACTTTAATTTTTACATCATTTATCAAGTTTACAATTTATGTAAAATGTAATATTAAGCTAATGATATATAAATATAATTAATTGTAATAAATATTAAATATTCAGTAGATATCTTTTTCAACTTTGTATCCTCCCTTTTTATATAGTCACTTTTTAAATATTTCTCTAAGAATAATCATATAAAGTACATTTATACTGACCTGACAGGAATTGTGTGATGGTTTTCTTTGAGATGAAGACTCTCTTGATGAATTTGATGATAATTTTATAGGATGTAAAATCTACAAAAATAAATTAATGACATTAAGATATTATATTATACAATCTGTAATATTTCTGCACAATATTATATTTTAGAAGCATATGATTTGCATAAAGCATAAGCCATTTTGTAAATTTCAGGGCTGTGACTATGTACAAAATGTTCTACAGTCCAAAAAATGTAAATATGCAAGGAAATGTTTAAAAATTTAGTACATTTATTACATATAATTAATAAAATTCAATAAAATTGCATCTTTAATTTTCAGATGGTACGCAAATATTTAAAAAGCAAAGTATTGTACAAATTTAGATTATATCAAAGAGTTAATATTTGTTACCACTCAACTCTAAATTAATTAGGTAATTAATAATAATATTCTTACCTCTCCACTACTCCTATCGTGGTTGGTCCTGTGTTCTGAATCTCTGCTCTCACGGCTTCTCTTGTCTTTTGGGGATCGTGCACAATCTACACATATGCAAGCAAGCATGTTACAGCTGAAAATTTTAAGACACAACCCTGTTTTTATACTGAAGAAAGAAGTAATAAAACTTTATTTCTCAAAGAAATTATACAGCCGATTTTGCCATAACACAAATTCTATAATTCAAAAAACAATAGGATAAAAGCATTGTTTATTTCTTATTTTAAATAAACTTATAAATAATAGTTAAATATATAACACCTCCTCTTATTATTAATTTTCTTACATATCGTTTAAAGATTTTCTTATGTTTCACATTTCCCAATGGACATATAAAATTGCTATATATATAATATATAATAGAATATTAATATATTCTATCTACAACAATGATATAAAGAAATTATTCAAAACAGAATTAAAAATAATTAAAATAAAATACATAAAAATATAAAATTAAATTGTATGTTACTTAACTTTTATATTAGTTTCATATATACATGATACAATATAAATATTATTAAATACAATAATAATGATTAATTACAAATAATGAGAATATTATGTATGTTCATATTCTTAAAACTTTTAAATTTTATTTTTATTATTTTTAGAAATGGTACTTTGTAAATAATATTTTCAGATATACTTTCATGTAATTTTAATTTTAAAAACATATATGAAACTGAGTTACTTTTTGAAAATAATATAATTCTTATGGTTTACAAACAGCATCAACAGGTTATAGCAAAAGTGACTGTATTATTATTTATCATACAATAATTACGTGTACTAAATTTTTCATAAGATAAATATTTGGCAAACCTACTACTACATTTTTCTAATATGTTTTTAATATTTCATATACTTTAAACTCAATTTAAAAATATGATAATTCGATATTATGCTAACAAATAAAAAAAAAAAAAATATAGTAAAATTAATTACCCGAATACTTGTCCCTAGAGGAGGATAACTTGTAGTCTCTATTTTCTCTCTCCTTCTTGTATAGGGGCTTGGATGTGTAGCTGCGAGGACTGTCTCTGTCTGTTCCCATGCCCATACCCAAGCCCCCTGCTGGACTATAAGAATTGCCATTTGGGGAATCTCGCATACGTCCTTCGTAACGACTATCTGATGATGTTGTCGATGAGGAGTAGCCACCCTTAGAACTGCTGTACTTTGCGTTCTATAAGAAATGTAAAATATAATTAAAATAAACTTTCTTTTACATTTAATAAAGAACTTCTTTTTGATAGATTACTTTTATAAACATTACATCTTGCACTATTACTTTCATTAATTAAATAAGTCATACATTTAGAATTTAATGATTAATAATCGTAAAGACTTTAATATAATTTCTCTTAACTTCTCTCTTCATATTACATGTTACACATATTAATTATAAAAAAATATATATTATTATCATAAAATAACTATACTACAAGAAACTATTGAATACAAAACGATTTATTACACTAACTGTTAATTTTGCACACAAAATATCTGACAAAACACTATTTTATATTAAAAAATAATCTGATGCAAAAGTTGCAACTTATATGATTAAAAATTCACTACATAAAACATAATTGAAGTATTATGAAATTGTTTATTATTCTTATTAAAACACAAGCGCAAAAACACATATTGTAAGTAATACGTTATAAAAACAATTTATTAAGTAAAGTTCATGTAACACTTTCAATGTACTATTAGTAATCTGCATAATGTAGAAGAATGAATTATTGATTTTCTAAAAGTGAGGTTATGTTTACAAGATCAAGTAAAATTTGTATCTTTTATCAAAAACTATGAAACTAAGATTACATACATAATATCTCCACGCTATTAAATATAAATTGTAAAATTATATTAAAAAATACATACAATCAGTGCAAGTTTTTTATAATATTAATAACTGGATGAATGCTTCAAGGACAATATCTAGTTAAAGCTTTTATATAAATTTTACAGAAAATATTAGACTTTTTGTTACATTTGTCTTAACATTTTTTACATAACACTAAAAATATAAAAAATGAAAAATGAATCTGTACACAAAAAAGAATGTTATTATATATCTCAATAAATATGTACAATCTAACAATTTTATGTTTTCCTACATTTTTAAAGTAAGATTTTAAGTTTTTTTAATTGAAGAATAAATAATAAATAATTTAATGTGAATCCACAGAAGTATTTAGTCCTTAATATATAAAGTTTATCAAATATGTGGGGGAAAGAAAAATGGTATTTTTTCCCTCGATATATACGTATAATCTACAAGTTATGTCTCGAATTTCTTATAAAACTATTTAAACAAAATTACTTTGACACTCGATTACGGGAATCTAATGCAAGAAAATATATATGATATATATATATATATACACACACACACATACATATACATATACTGTATCTCATATGCATATATGTATCTATATATAATAACATATATACTACCAACACATACACAAGCTATATAATATTTGCATCACACGAAAGGGTCAAAATAGGCGGGCAAATTACATGAGAATTATTAGAAACACTAAACGGAAAGAAAATATCGTCCGGTCAGAAACCATAATGAAATCTTTAGCAGTAATCTATACTAATCGTAATTTGGTTAACAACGAACTGTAAAAAAAGAGTAATGCTAGAAACATGAAGGAACTACTGATACAGTTGATCTCACAATTATCGCGAAAAAAAAGCGCGAACAAAAAGAGAGAATTTTGTTTTTTTTTTAAACGAGGACGAAAAGAATCGCGGTAAAATCGTGCGTGCAATCGCACTGTAGACGAATTACCCCACTCCTAAACCCCCGACACCAATTGCTCGGATGATATTTACCTGATAGGGATGGGTCTGGTGCTTTTCGAAGTACCTGAAATCATACAAAATAAATGATGAATAAAATCGCAAGACAGCGGGTGTTCCAGGATGGAAAATGAAATTTCCATCAAGGAAAATCTCCCGCGAATGGCGGTAGTAGTAATGTCGAGTGGGTCGGATGGATGGACTTTGGAGATGAGAGGTGAGGTGAGTAGAGGTTGGTTGTGTCAGGATTGGGTATTTGACGGCGGTACCCTACCCATCGCTGATCCTTTGTGGTTTCCTCGCATGCATTACCATCAATGCCGGTGTCTGTGGGAAATTCGCGGCCTCGGATGTTCCCTTTTCGGTCGGTCAATGTCATAAAAACAACATTAACGCTTATTTAACAGTCAACTTTCTTTCTACCCGGACGCCATGTCACATACGTGATCGGCCGCTAGCGGTTATTATAGCCGAAAAGTTCGAGTAACGTCTGCGCTTCAGTGTGCAACTTCTCTTCTCAGGAGCGTACATATTAAAGTCTTTAAAGTGATACGTTCAACTACACGTGACAGTATGAACGGTGCTACAAAATTCTCTTGTCAATTCAATTGACAGAAAGCGATCAAGTTACGTAAAAGTATATTAATCTTGTACGCACTGCAAATAAGATGGTTTAATATTTATAGAAGATTCAATTTATAGAATATGCGTGTAATTTCACAATGGATATTACTATATTTATTATTTGTATAAAATTATGTAATCATGTTATTTTATTTGTTCTTTAAATATTATACATAGACAATAATAATTTTCATTTCGAAGAAATATGTATCTTTATATATATAAAAATGTCAAATGCCAAATTTAAATAATACTAATTTTCACAATGACAGTAAGTTACACAATTATAATTTTGAAAACTTGGATCTACTTTATCAAGTGGAGAAAAAAGAATATATGAAAATTCAATGAAATCCATCGTACTTTTCTACCAGTATGAGAAATGTAATTTTTGGCAATGCATAAGGGTTTATCGAAGAGTGCAGCCGTACCTGTATCTGCAACTTCCGTAACGACGTTCTCGGTGTTAGAGTAACGGCGGCGTCAATTCAGCATTGACGTCTGGCGTCGCGTTTTACTTGATTTTCGAAGAACTGTCGTAAGTTTCGAGCACACCGACAGCAGGCGGCGCAGGTCGCAATAAATTTACCATCGTGTGTGGCTGTAAACGTGAAAAACTGAAGCTATGAAAGCGCTTATTTGCGACATAATAAAAGTGATGACTATGCCTGTTTAGTTACATTTTGTTGCAGGTATGTAGTAGTACGCGATGTAACAGTCGAATTAAAGAAGTGGGGGTTGTTTAGTCTCTGTCGCTCGACACGCTTCTGAAAACAAATTCACGTTGAGCTCTTTCATTGTTGACTGTTGTTCTTCTAGATTTTCTGCATGACGTATCTAAGCGTCAGCACGTGGTTATATTATGTTATATTATGTCAGCAATAGACGAACTGAATTAAATATTATGTTAACACGTGTATGATTATTGCTAAATGGTTCTATTTTGTTTCCTTTGATTTGATCGGTATAACATGCATTTAATCTATAACGAAAAAATATAATAATGTTCTTTAGTTTTATATTTTGCATATTGTATTTCTTATCATAATCTATTAAAAAATAAACGTGGATTAGCAAATTTATAAACGCTATAAATTTAGAAATCCATTGACATTGTTCATTTTCTTATCTAAAGCAAGAAAAATACTGATACATGATAATATATTATATTTGTGATATTATTTGTTTCTAGGTTTAATAATATTATTTTTAATGAAAATTATGGCACATCCTACACAAGACACAGATGTAAGCAGTTTTTTTACTTTAAATGACAATTTACTAAATAATTCTTCAAGTAATAAATTTTATCATTATAATATATCATGAGAGGTATAGGAAATAAATATATTAGTCAGTAATATTCTTTAACACTAAATTATGATTTAAAAATATCACATTTGTATGTATCAAAACAGTTTTTTATATTGTATATCTAAATTTGATAGTTAAATTTTGTTTTATACCTCTCATATAATTATAAATGTAAAATAACTAAATATAGTAAAAATCTTCATATGTTTATAGCAGATTTTTATAAAAAGGAAATAATGGATGAAAGAGATGAAATAGATTTAATATGGATGCATAATAGTTCCATAAGTGTATCAAAGAAACATGAAAATCAAGAATATATGGATAGTTACTTCATTGATATTAAGTCATGTGAAAATATATAAAAACTTTTTACGGTAAAATATATAAAAGTTATAATTTATAGTTTAAAAGTAATTAATTAACATCATATGTTTCAGAAATATTTTAACTAGTATAAATACATATTGTGAAAAAACATTGGACATGATAAAGTTAAAAAATCATATAAGTAATACATTAACCTTTTTTCATCTTTACTGGAATGATATTAAAGAGGTATTGTTTAAAAATCATTAATTATTAATGCAATATAAATGATAAAATACTAAAATATATATGAATGTTTTTAAAGCACGTTGGTGATAATAACTCATATTTAAATAAAATGACAGTGTTATTGGGAATATATATAGATATGGAACTGAAAACTTTTAAACACACTATGGATTCTTCTAAAATTGCTTCAAAACTTCTTTCAACATTATGGATATATTTAAGTAAGTTAAAATAGAAAATGTTTTACAAATTATATAATGCAAAATAAAATGAAATTAATGTATTTTGAAATACATCATTTAAAACATGGATAATTAAGTAAATTAAGCAATGTAATATTTATATTATAATATTCATCCTTGTTTCAGATAACTCGGAAAAGCACATTTTCAGAGTGCTACTTAAACTTAAACTTGTTGCTAAAAAGTATTCTAAAATTTGTGACCTTATATTCATGTATGTAAATATTTTATATCCTTCACATTTGAGTCTAAAAAAATTAGTCTATAACAAAACTGATTCTTTTTACATAATATGAACTATTTTTCTTATATTAGGAAAAGTTTTGCCAGTTTCAAAAAAAGTGTGGAATCTTTAACAGATATAGATTATGTCAGGTATTTGCTCCTGTTAAAAATATGGAAAAGAATAAAAGAAACTGTTGAGGAGAAAAAAGAAGTGAATAGGATGGCTCTAACTATATTAGGTCCATGTACCCCAAAAATGCGTAATGAATTATTGAAGATTCTACCTAAAGTTCCTGCAGGACTTGAAAATGAAACTATTTGGTTATTGCACCCAGATGTATTCGACTTAAAAATTGCATGTAATAATTTTGTACTATTTGAAGAAACAATGTCTGTTGAATTTAAAGATACTCATTTAACAAAAATTTCTGATTCAACTTCACAGTCATCACAGGTAAACTTTTTATTATGCAATATTATTATTTTTACTAATTAATATATTTTGACCCTTATTTTGTATTTTGTTATTTCTAGAATTTATTATATGATGTTCAAAAGTATTTTACGAATTATGAATGTAAAAAAAGTAATATCAATAACACAGAAAATAATCATCCATTTAAAAATGAAATAAAAAATAATAAAGGTAACAATCAACTTTTTCCAATAAAAAAGGGAAACAAATTTAAGAAATATAAAAAGTTATCAAATCTAAAACCTGGAGAAGTAATATTGATTGATTTGACTGAAGAAGATGACTTAAGAATGGGTAAAAAGAAAAAGAAGAAAAGTCAAAGAAATTTAGAATGGTTAAAAATGATGAAGAAAAGGTATAAAATAGAGAAACAAATTGATGAAGTGAAATGTAAAAATCAAGTAGAAATTGCAGATGCTCATAGTACAGAGAATTCTGAAAATTTTTCTCACAATATTCTTTTAGAATATTTACCAATTTCGGACAATAAAGTTAGTGAAAGTACAGAAAGTTATACTTCAATAGAACAAAAATCAGTCCAAGATAATATTCATAATTCGCTAAATACACACGATCATATTTTCAATAAAAGAAGTAATGAATATATGTTTCAACATACACAGTGTGATACATGTACTTCAACAATAAAACAAACTGATATGCAGCGCAATAAAATATTATATTTGCTGAAACTTCTTAGTGCTATGGGACAAAGTATTAAAGAACCAAAAGCCATATTAAATCTACTAGGACAAAGTAGGGATGAAAACACGATGTCTTCTGAACATAGCTTTTTTTGTAGAAATACAGCCAATGAATCTAGTGAAGTAAGTACTCAGGGTAAAGAATCATTTTCTCAGCCAAAAAGTTCCATAAAGACAATATACTTGTCAAAGGAGTGCCAAAATAATACTACAGATGTACAATCTATAAAACAAGAGTTACCAACAAATACAGATTATAATGTGATGGAAAAAGATGCTTATTGCCAAGATGAATCTGTTTATGTACAAAGCGATTGTCAGTTACACGATTTGCGATCAATAAACAGTCATAGTTCAGAAGGAATAGAAACCATAAAACAAAACATTGCTCATGAAATTCATGAATGCACAGGCTGCTATAAAAATATTGAAGTAAAACCTTTTAATTACCATAATAATAGTATATTTAGTATGATAAAGAATGAAGATGTAACACAGAATACATCAGATAATAATATTATCGATAAAACATCGATTTGTGACAAAAATATAATATGTATGCTAAGTGATCTTGACAAGTGTATGGATGTTTTAAATCGTATTGGTGAACACATTATGACTGTTCATGCAGAGAAACAACGACTAGGATGTTTAGATAAGATGGATGCATGTAGTGTTTCTACTACAGTTTCAGGAAATCAGTCTGTAGAATCATCATCAGATTGGATACAAAATATTAATTCATTGACGAATACAGAAAAGCTCAGTAGAATTTTAGAACTATATGGAAAAAAAGATCTATTAAGTGTATGCAACTGTCAAGATTTTCATTTCTTAAATGAATTTCATAAATCGACATCCCAATCAAAAGAATATCGCTCTTATGAAAAAAATAATATTTTTCCTGAAAATAAATCAACTCCAAGCTTCATTCATAACCACATTAAATCAGAATTTGAACAACCTATTAAGAAAGAAAATAATGAAAGTTTTGAAATTATAAAAGACAAGGTACAGAAAACAAGTCAACATAAAATTAGTACATTAACAAATAATCAAATATGTGACACATCTTTTATACATGATTTGCAAAAAACCAAAGAATCAAATCGAAATGCACATTGGGAATCTACATTACAAAATTTTTCACAAAAAAGTAATATGATAAAGTCACGTTCTATAGATGAATTTGAAAATATTGATATTTTAGATAGTATTCTAAATGGAGATATAACTATTGAAGATGAACAAGAAATTTGGGAAGATTCACAGTCTCCATTGATGTCACCAATTAATTATGATAATTCAAATAGTGTATTAAACTGTATTACAGAATTTTTTTCGCAATCCGAACAAATACATAGTAATGAAACAGAAGAGAAGTATATTTTGTCAGATACAGAAAATTCTCAAACACTATTACCTGAAGGTAGCCTTGGAACAACTGGGATATTAAATTCTTTATTTGATTTTGATTTAACAAATATGGATTCTCCTTCAAATGATTATATATATTCAAATATACAGGCAGTTAATCCACGGTTAATTAAAAAAACTTTTGAGGATGAAATATTTTCTACAAAAAATTTAAATATATCGAAATTGAATTTTGAAGAAATAACATCTGAAAAGAATGATTTAGAGAACATGTTTTCACAAAGGGATAAAGAATTCTGTAATAATCAAAATCATTCCGTCGATAGTAACGTAAATATAATTGGATTTGGATTAAACACAAGTAAAGAAGAAGTGCGTGAATTTCCTTCACTAATTAAAACTACACCTTTATTCTCTGGTCAATCAACTATTTTAGTCAATTCAGATAACATATCTTCTGAAGAGAAAGAATTGTTTCCTAAATGCAGTTTTTCTAGTCCTACTAATAAGTTTGATACTAATAATGTTATAGAAAAATCTTATATTTTTCAAAAAAAAGATACTGTTAATCAAATTCAATCATTCAATGATATAAAAAATCGAGGTTTGCCTGAAATTTGTACTTCTAATCATATTCCATCAAATGTACCTATAAATTGCATATTAAATCAACAGGAAGATAATGTTCAATCATCAAACAAGTATACATGTGTAGACCTTGAAACTAGTCCTTCGGTAATGAAACAATCTCTAGATTCTTGTGATTTATTGTCTTCCACAGATTTAATAACATGTAATACCGACACATTATACACAGTTGAACATAAAGATGAAAGTTCTTTGAAGCAAAGAAATATTCAAAAAGATAAGCAATATAATAGGGAAGAAAAACAAAATCGTAAGACAAAACATAGAACAGAAATTAGTGCACAATCTAGATCATCAAAACGTACATTAAAGTGTAAAAAGAAAATTAAAATAAACAAAGAAGAAAAAAAACTGTTTTCATCTATTGCTCAATCTAATCAAAATGAATTGAGCTTAAGATGTTCACAGATTACAATTATCAATCCTCTGAATTATCAAGGTGTGCAAGATACATGTGACTCACCATTATCAACATTTCACACGTCATATTGTAAAACATCATCCCAAAATTTATGTACATCTAAAAACATGCACAAACAATTAAATTGTGCAACTATTCAACAATTAAAACATGTGTCTCAAGAAAAACAACAAATTTTATTAAACTTCCAAGAAGATCCTATAGATGACATAATCTACAAAGAAGATCATAAATTAGAAAATCCTCAATGCATCATGGAAGATAACATCACAGAAGATTCAAATATATCAGTGAAATCACATATACTTGAAAATAAATCTTGCTTCAAACTGTCAAAAAAAAATATGAAAGTTGATACCAATATTACCAAAGTGAATTTCATAACAGATAAAAATATAAACAAAGATTCTAATAATCATGTAAAATCTAATGCAAAGTGGTCATTACAAAACATAGATATACAACCATCAAATTCTATTAAAGGGCAAGTAATTGCAACTCAAGATGAAGATATACCTTTGAAGAAAAGAAAATTAACTTCTAAATTTTCACCGACATTGAAAAAAAATGCAGTTGTTTATTCTGTAAATCAGCAAAAAATGCAAAAAAAACGTTTTGTCTCTACAAAAAAAGGTAATTTTATTTTATATATTTTTGATAATTTGTTTTCTTTCAAATATAAAGTAGTTTTTATTTTTAAATTTTGTTTTCTATGTAAATGTTTTTACTAAATAACTGTAATATGTGAAGTGAAATTTGTATATTTTTACATCTTATATACATATATAAATAATGATATCATTTGGTTTTAATATTTTAATATTAAATTTCAAAACAAAGATAAAAGTAATCGTTTTCTACAAGGAAGATCAACAGTTGAAGATACTTTAGTATGTGGTATATCTTGTAAATTTCTTACAAGTAAAATCTTTTATGTAATAAAAAATGTAACTGTGCATATAGATGAATAGATTTTATTTCAATTCGCAATTCAAAATTGATATTTGTAATTATAAGTTCTGGAACCAATAACATTTGCATAAGTGAGAAAGTGAAAATATGATATTTATATTTTTGTCTGTATATATCTCATTAAAAGATGAAAATGTAATATATTTATTTATATGAATTTACAACCATTAAGAATATAAATGAGGTAAGTTTATTTCATATTATTAAACTTTATGCAAAGTTTAAATTCAATTTAACATTATTCTCTTATTTAAATTGAAATTTAATATCGTATTATTAAAAATATATGTCAATTCATATATAAATATTTCTACATGAAAATATTCAATTATGCATTATATTAATAAACATTATTTTATATTAAATTGTATTTTTATTTATAGGTATGATGTGTACAAATAAAAGGAAGAATATAGTAGGTGAGTCGATTGAAATATAAATACTGTTCTAAAATAAGCCTTAGCTTTCTCTAACATATATATGTTTTACATATAATTACAAGTAAATTTCTGTTAAATTTTGCAAACTACTAAAACAAAAAGATAATAGATACACTATTTAAATGTGTGCTAAATACATACATTTTCTTGAGATAAAAGGAATTTTCTAAAAATATAAAAACAATTATTATTAATCGAAAATAAGATATACATCATGTAATTATAAATAATGACCACATATGCAAATTGTAATTTTATAAATGATTACAATAATTATATTACGTAATTTTTAAATTATAAAAATTCTTTTATTATAATGATACATATTTTTACTGGTAATGGTACACATTTTTATTGTTCTGGCAAAGTAATATTATTATGGAATTTGCACAATCCTAATATTTTAAATGATAAAAGTTATATTATTTGTTTATATTTATAACATTATTTGAAAAGAGTACATTGTTATTTTAATTTTTTTTTTATTAATAATATTGTGATTGTGATACTTTTCTTTTCAATTTTAATAAACCTGTATTGTATTTTCTTATTTACATATGTTGGTGATCTTAAGAGATGAAATTTTTTCAATTTATTTTAGTGGGAAATGTATTAAGAATCACAAAAATTTTTCATTACAAATTAGAACTATAGAAAACAAATATCTAATTTCATCTCTTAAAATTATCATACAAATAAAAAAAAATACCTACTTTGTTGAACTTGAAAATAAAAGTGTCAATTATAGTAATATTACATTATCAAATATAAAAGTATTAACAGTGTATTATTTCCAAAGAATTTATTAAAGCTAATCATTTTCTTAAAGAAGTGTTCTTTTCTCAGTGCAAGAACAAGTATCATTAGTTATGTGCATGAATAAATTTTACTTTTGAAAATGAAATTCTTATATTAGTATTTTGAATAACTTTGAAAACTACCTGTGTATTCAAATTCATCATTTTAAATCTTCCAATTTCTTTGTAATTATTCAACTCGAAAATGTACATAAATGTAAATAATACAACAAAATATGCTTTCAGATATAAAGTTTATGAATGAAAGCATATCAATGATCTCTCCAATAATTGTTAAATTATGAACCTTTCCAAGATTTTAGTTGCTATTATTTCACCTATTTTGGGTAATTATTATTAACAATTTTTTAATGTACAAATCACTAAGCTTTAAACAAAATTTTTAAAGTTACTATTCAATAATTTATAATATTATATTAAAGCTCGTTTTTCTCCTTTATTTTATGCTAAACATAATACTTTTTAAAATTACAATATTTAAAAAGATACCTCATACCAAATATTTTTTTTTAATTAATTTAAACTGTAAAATATGCAGCAAATAAAGTATATCAAACTGCCAAAAGTTGAAAAAGATACTGTATGATTCTAGATTTTTAATCTTTCTTTTTTTTTTAATATAAATAATGTCAGATATTATCAATTATTTATTTTTGTAAGGTTTGCTCAAAAGGTACTATCTATTGAAAATTTATGATACAATTAATTATAAACTTAAAAGCAATGACTACAAGGCAATATTAAAATATGTGATATGTTAATTTTGAAGTAAATTCAACTTGATTGGTAGTATTATATACATTCTAAGATGTCAATAATTTTCATAAATTAATTTTTACTCTTGTGACTTCAGTACAATTTATATGCAACTTATTTTTATTAATGATAGTCTTTATATTAAATGTACTATAATGAATAGTTGTACTATATTTATGTTACTTTTGCATAAAAAGTACAAGAAAGCATTTTATTCAATATAGCAATAGTGATTACTTTTGGAGCAACCCTCATTAAGTTTTAGCATTACCTTTCATTTTACATGTGTTTAAAATAGGTATACAGTATATTATTTCTTTAAAATGTAATTGTTAACCACTGTAACTATGTAGTAATTTTTGTAAAATATGAAAATTGCATAAGGAATGCAAACAATTGAATGTTGGTAATGTCATATTTATCATTCTCTTTCATATAAAAATATGTTCCGTTTATTCTTTTTTTTTCTAAGTACAAGGGTTATACAAAAAACTTAATTTTCAGTATTTTTAAAGTATTATATAAATAACTAATTGCTGTTTTCAATTAAATAGTTTGTAATTTATGTTAAAGATTAAATATAATATTTACACGTAAAATTTTCTATACTTTGTGTTTATTTTAAGTATTATTTTTATTTCATTTTATCTATGTTTTATGTACTGCGAATATTAAAAATATTTTGCCGATTTCGGTAGTATCCACTTAGCCGCAACAAGTTCTTCTTGCTTAAATATAACTTTCTTACACAATTTTTCCATCCTAACTCTAAAATCTATAATAGTTATATCAATAAAACCCTGAATTGATGCAGCTAAGCGAACACTATTATAAATCGCTATAGTAATATTATTCGATTATAATCATATAAAATGTTAATTAATAGTCATTCCATTTGATTATCTAAATTGAATTTTAAAGAACTATAGTAGTTATTCTTAATCAGCTTGTAAATTATAAATTATTCAAGGAGATCGTTACTTTCATACTACATTCCGCAAATAATTAAGATACTGTTAGATTCCGCAATGTCCTTAAAATAGAGTATTAATTCGAAATTTAACTAAAGTTAAAAATTTGCCTGCAATATATAGTAATAGTATACTACCTATTTTGTATTCCAAAAAATGTAGATGATAATGTTAGTGTAGACGTCAGCAAATGTGTGAGCATTCTTTTGTATTTTGTAGAAAATTGTATTTTGGTTGAAATATTCCAAAACTGAATTTAAAAGAAAAGAAAAAGAAAAACAAAAGTTTGCATATTTCAAAGTATACAGTAAGACACTAAACAGCGCATAAAATAAGGCAGATATACATGTACTTCTGTGGCACAAAGGAAAATTTATTTATAAACTCATTAAATTTAATATAATTAGATACAGTTTGTCATAATTACATTACTAATAATTTTTTTTTTTCAATGTAAATTTACATAAGTAATTGTTGGAAATTCATACATGTGCTATTGATTACATGAATATAAGATACCTCTTTGTTTAAAAATATTAACTTATAAATGCGTCTTTTTTATGCTTATTCAACAACAAAATATATACATTTTATAATTTAAAATTGTAACACGATATTTAAATTAATATAGATATGAGTAGATTATTTTTGAAATTACATAGAACTTTAATTTTTAATCTCGTTTTGTAACAGAAGAGATATCGAAGGAAACACTATAATGTTTAATTAATGAAGCCGCGCGTTTATTTACTTTATTCACAGGTATTATATATTTCTATATATAAATTTGTACTTTTACTATTGCCTTATCTGAGGATTAATAAGCATACTTATAAAATATCATATATAATGTACATGTCTAGGAAAGTCGTAATTAATGTAAAATGAATAAGATTCTAAAAAAAGTAGGAAACGCGCGAGTTTAATTAATTATTCTATTACAAAACTATGTGTCGAATATGTAAGGAACACGATTTTGCAATAATAAAAATACTTATATTATTGCGTATTAAGATTTTTGACAAAAAAAAAAAGAAAAAAAAGAAAAAAGAAAGAAAAAAAAGAAAAAAAAGAAAAAAAAGAAAAAAAAAGGAAAAAAACAGTACAATGAAATATCTTAATTTGGCCAATAACAAATAAAATACTTGTATCATGTATTTAAGTGATTAAAAATGATGTTTAATATCAGATATATAATTCTAGGATCAAACTACTAAAAAATATATGTAAAAGTCAAGGAAAATAATTTCTGAATTTCCAATAGACCGTGGTTTTTAATCTTCAAAACGTTTATAAATGTATATATAAAGTCACAAATATAACACTATGATTTTTATGTATGAAGAATGAAACATGTGCCATTATATTCGATTAAACAACTCTATATAATAGAATTAATGTAGATTATTATTTAGTTATTTTGTAAACATTAATGTCAATCGAATTTAATAATTTTATCAGATTTATGTAATTTACAATTAAAACATAAAATTATATTAGATTGTCCACAATGTACAATACAGAGACTGAACAAAAGAATAAAATTCTTTTTTTAAATAAATTGTCAATATCAGAATTTCCCCATTACTGATAATATTGTTGTATGTTTTATATATATGTGAATTTAATAAAATATAGTATATCTATACAAATAAAAATTTCTATAATTTTGACTAAACTTATTTTAATAAGTATTCTAACATTTCATTATGTTGTTAATATTATATATTAACAAAAGGTCCACAGACACTTAAAGGTGCATATATATTTACAATTGTTATATACAAAAGTTATAGCTATATATATATATATACACACATATTTCTAGAGTTTCTGAGATTTAAAATAAATTTAATTTTTATATACTCAATCTTTTCTTTCTTTTTAAAGTCTAATTAAAAATAGTTTTGACACAGAAGAACTACAACTATACATTGTTTCTATATCTCTTGAGGTATACACTTTCAAGACTACCTTAGTCTTATTTTCCATGCATGTTTTATTCTATTTATATTTTATATATCTATATGAAGAACGACAATTTTATAACTTGTATATTATGCAAAGTTAAAAGATAAGAATATTTTTATTTATAGGACATTATGACAAGAATAAAAGCATCGTAGTGAACATATAAAATAATTATATTAAAAATGCATTTTACATAATATATTGTAACATACAATTAAATATTATCATGAATGAAATAAAAATCTCATAGAGACATGATTTTATATATGTAAACTAAAAATAATTAAATATAAAGGTATCAAAAAAATATTTAAACGAGTACCCTGTTATAAACTACGTCTAACCCTAATCGTAAACGTAAAAAATTTACGCTGGGGACGTAAATATGAGGTAAATGTGTTAATATTATTTTTCTCAAAAACCCAGTCTATGCATTGCGCAATGCATGTAATTTACAAATATAGGTAAATACAAGTTTATTCATTATTATGACAGAATGTTCTACACATACAGTATTCAATGTTTGTTATGAACACGAATGAATGAGGCATCTGATGTAATGTTGCTATTCTAAATTATATTTTAGGATATCAGACTTTCCTTCATAAATGTTTCACACATTGCAGGACAATTTCCTCAATAATGAATTATCCATACATCCATGTACGTACATTGAAACATTTGACAAATATTTCACCACATAGTTTTGATAATCATATCAAATTATAAATTTATTTGTTACTTCAACTTAAAACTATCAGACTTTTTTTGAAAATCAAAAAATAAATGGTAACGATAAAAAGAAGATAACAAAAATTTATTGTTTGTATTAATATCTCATGTCATTTGTTTAATATGAAACTTATTACTACTTATATAATTAAAACAAAATTTCATATCATTTCTAAGAAAAAGTTGCATTTCAAAATAGAATCTTTGATTTTAATCATTTTTGTAAGGTACAAACAATGTCCACTATCAATGTTAAATAAAAAGTATGAATTCCATGTAATACTTCTTGAATATTTTATGATGAAGCATTCAACTAGATACATATTTTTGTACAATAAATCGTGTTATTAATTTCGCGTTAGTTAGTTAATAATCACAGATATAAATATCAAACATAAAGATATGGCACTGAAATGTATAAATGACTTCATATTTCCAAATGACTGAATATGACTATTACATATAAATACAAAATAATAATCAAAGAAAAGAAAATTAACAAATAAAATCCTTTAAACTATTGTTTGAGTTTTTAATTACGATTATTTCATAAGTTCTTTTTAATATTTAACCTTTAAATGCTACATTATTTTTTTATCTAGTATTTGTACAATGAGATTTACCTCACCCAGATTTGGAAAAAATAATTGAACAATTTTTAAAAATATATGTAATTTTGAAAGCATAAATTATGTAAAGGTGTTATAAATTCAGGTATTGTATTGAATGATTTTTCATATGACAAAGCTCTATCATTTTGGTAAGTATACAAAGTCTAAGTACGTCTTTTTAATTTTATGTGATGTTTTCAACTTTAACCTGGAATTTTTGAATACATATTACTTTTTTGTAATTTCTATTTTATATAAAGTAAAAAAGTTTTAATCCATAATTAACAGGTGATGACTAGTTATGCTACTTGCATTGTGATATCTAAGAGTATATTTATAACAAATAATGTTGCTATATGTATTAAGAGGACAGGTTAAAAAATTGAAGGAAATTTATATTTCCTGTTCTACCCTTGCATGATGGCATTGTTATTTTTATGTCATTTGGCAAATTTATTGACATCACATTTTGGAATTAAGCATTTTCTTGAAGATTTTCAATATGAGGAAATAATAAATCTGAAATACAAAATATTAAATATTTAATTTGTATAAAAAACATTTTATCATTTAACATGCAACTTTATATATATATATATAT